CCAGTGATATCCAAATCTCCAGTGGCTAAGAGATGTATCAGTGTATCCAGACATGTACTAAGCTATGTGCAGGGCATTGTGGCAAAGGAGGTAGGGACAAAAAGACAGTTCTGGCCCTGAATCTACCTCAGTTCAGTAGAGGGGGACTAGATCCAAATCCCATGGAACAGGGAAGACTTCAGATGTCAACTGGAATTACAGCTGGGGACTGACGGGCAGAAAAAACTCCACCAGGCTGAGAAACAGTCTTAAAGGGAAATGAGAGGCAGAAGGACCTGGGGAGTAAAGGTACTGAGGTGAGGACACTGAATTGACATTACAGTGGGGCAGGAGTATCAGGGCAGCAGTAGGGAAAAAGTCAGGTGAGGGTCAGACTAGGACAACTCTAAAACCAGGTTAAAAAGTTAGGATGGGCAGTATTCATTTTTTTTTTTTTAAACAAGTGAGCACTGAGTGTTTTGAAGTTAATAACAGATATTTCATATAAAATTCCTACTCTGTAGAACCTATATATGTCCTAATCCTGACAAAACCTTAGAAGGTAGGTGGTATCACTCCATTTCCAGATGAAGAAAGAGAACCTCAAAGCAGTCCTGGCTTGCCCAGGACCACAAAGCTGTGAAGAGGCAGGGCTGGTATTTAGACCCTACCTTCACAGTTCATGCTCTTTCCCGGCAGTCTTTCTCAACTGGGATTTCTCCTTTGAACTACATATGATAAACTATTTGAATAATGATTTTCTCAATTCTCCCGAGAATGATACATAAGTAGTACCATCTCAATGCCTGGGAGAAAAGTTAATTCCTTGTATACAATGGATGCTTTATAGCTCAATTCTTTGGGGGAACCCTGGCCAAAAAGGCTGTCATGATTAGTGATATGTTTTAGGAAGATGGATCTGGCAGTGGGGTCCCATGCACCTTAACAGCTCTGGAATTATTAGGATGAGTTCCTCCCCACCTTCCCAACCATCCTGCGTCTTCTCTCCCTCCTCTATCCCCTCCAACATTTTCTTGTACCTGGCAGTCAAGTGCTAAAGCACAGCCTTCCTGCTCTAAGCCAGCAACACAAATAGAAGCAGCATCTTCAGAGCTGAAAACCAAAGGGGCCTGTGCACCCACGTTTCTATGGAGGTCAGGGGTAGAAAACCGGCACTAGTGAATTCAGAACCCTTCCATAAAAATCATCTGGCAACCTCCCATTACACTTCCAGATAAAACTAAGCATCCCCTCCTCTGAGAAGCTTTCTGTAACTGACTCTACCTCCCTGCTCACCAGGCAGGCGCACCAGGAGGTATTTCCTCCTCTATGTCCCCAGAGCCCTTGTCCAGCCCCCTACCAGCCCCCTCTCCAGTGTCACTGGCTGTTTCTGTATCTGTCTTCTCCACCAGTCTCAGTCTCTCACGACAGTTTGCTTGATCCATCTTAGGATGCCCTGAGGTACACGGTCTCAGAGATGGCAACTAGCTTACCCAGAGTCACATCACAGTGCTGAGACTGAAGCCCAGGTGAGTCTGACTCCCAAGCTGTGTTCTTTTCACTATATTAGGGGCCTTCTGAAGAGGAAGTGCTAAGCGCCTGGCCCAACACTAAGATTCAGAGGCGGTGCTCTCAGAGTGGACAGACCACCAGAAGAGGCCTCAGGAGTCAGAGGCTCTAGATGAGAAGAGAGAGAACATAAAGGTGACTTAAGTAGGGGGTGGGGAGGGAGGTTGTGGGCAGAAACAGAATTAAGAAGCCTTCAGGTAGGATTATAGGCTTCAAGGAGGAGAAATGGTATCATAGCTGCCAGGGTGACAGTCTGATTTCTTTTTCTTTCTTTTTTTTATTAAATATATTTTTATTGATTTCAGAGAGGAAGGGAGAGGGAGAGAGAGATAGAAACATCAATGATAAGAGAGAATCACTGATCAGCTGCCTCCTGCATACCCTCTACTGGGGATTGAGCTTGCAACCTGGGCATGTGCCCTGCCTGGAAATTGAACTGTGACCTCCTGGTTCATAGGTCAATGCTCAACCACTGAACCACACCAGTCAGGCCAGTCTGATTTTTTTTATATAATCACTATAGGCCCAGTGCATGAAATCGTGCACTTGGGGGTGGTGTTCCCCTCAGCCTGGCATTGCCCTCTCACAGTCTGGGAGCCCTCGGGGGATGTCCAACTGATGGCTAGGCCTGCTCCCCATGGCAGTCAGACATCTTTAGTGCTGCTGCAGAGGCGGGAGAGGCTCCCATCACAACCGCTGTCCTTGCCAACCATGAACTGGCTCAGGGCTTCTGGCTGAGCGGCGCTCCCCATGTGGGAGTGCACTGACCACCAGGGGGCAGCTCCTGCATTGAGCATCTGCCTCCTGGTGGTCAGTGCATGTCATAGTGACCGATTGTTCTGCTGTTTGGTTGATTTGCATATTAGCTTTTTATTATATAGGATGGAGCATGGAGCAGAGGCTTTTACAGTCGTTATCACTAACCCTCATGCTATCACCATCATACTTCTCAGGTGTTATCTTACAGACAAGAAAACTGAGGCCTAAAGAGTTAAGGTAATATGTCCAAGGCAATACCTGTGGTAGGGTGTGGGAGCTGGGATTCAAACCCAGGTTGGCCTGACTCTGAAGACACCCTTTCTATTACTCTACATGGCCTCCAAAGGGGTCAGAGAACTTCCCACATTATCACACTGCTGAATGGATCTCCTCCCAGCTCTCTCATGGGTACTGCTAAGTCAGAGTTGGTCAAGAAAAGCTGCCCCTCCAGCTCTAACTCTCTAAAATCCGGGGACCCTAAATCCCTGTGGACTAAGCAATTTCAAGGACAAGGGTTCTGTGTAGACTTGGTAAACACAGGCTGATCTCCCAGAGAGCACGTCCATCTCATTTGCTGCAGCAAAGCCGGTGGCAAATATAGGTTAAGAAAAGTGGATGGTCAGGAAGGAAATTCTCCTGCTTTCCCTGAAACCCTTGGAGAAGGTCAACTGAGGTCATAAGACTTTAGAAATGTTACTGGCAACAGCCCCCAGGACAAGGGGGTAGGATCCTCCCTCTCGGTTGGCTGGTCACACACACAGGCTAACCAAGAGAGGTCAAGGGGGGAGGGAGGTCATAAGTTGGCAGGCCTGTAGCCCTGAGTGATGGCCACTTGTTCAGATCAGGAAGGGAGAAATGAGTGGGTTAATGGTTTTGGCCCTTGAGGCTGGGAGGCTAGTGCAGGGGGTGTAAATGGAAGCTGGGTAAAAAGGCAGGTGGGCAAACTGTAAAAGTGGGGGCAACAGGCATCTGTTCCAAGTCAACAGGCAGGAACCATGCCCTTGAAATGATTCAAAGGGCCAGCCTTGGCCTGGGGGGAAAGGGGGACACTTCATAAAAGGCCCGGCCTCTTCATTTCAAAGGTATTCGATCTGGAAGGCTGGAGAGAGGGTCTCTTTTTAGAGTGAATCCCTGTCTGTTTGGGGGCTGAAGGCAAGCGGGAAATGTAAACCACTGGACAATGGCTGGGGGTATTGATTAATTTTAAAGCATGGCAGAGGGAAGCCCCACAGTGAATGCTCCAATTCTTAGCTACAAATGTCTCGCCAGAGAGCTTTCCAAAGGACAAAGTGAGTAGCATCCTGCTTGGGGATGTTTTCTGCTTCTGAGAGCACTAAGTTTTTGCTCCAAAAGCTTCAATCATCCCAGGCACTGTTACCACAATGTATATGCCCCAGACCAAGGCACATCATGGGGTAGGTCCCTTGTAGGCTGGGGGTTTGGGCCAGGCCTGGGTATTAAGCCAGTGTGGTTGGATTTGGGGGTGTTGGGCCAGCAGGGTAAAGTCTCTGGGACGAACAGAACTGTATTTGAAAACTGAATTTTGAAAGTGATTGGGCTGAAGAGGACAGTTGGCAGAAGTTACAGAAAAGAAAATCACAGCTCATTTAAAGATAGTTCAAGCAGTCAAAGAAATGAACTAAATGGATACCTAAAATGAAATGGACCCCCCAGGGAAGAAACAGAATTCTCCCAGTTCTTGACAAAATCCAAGGAAATGCCATCCAGCCAAATACTGGAGAGGTTTGTGCCAGGAGGAGAGTGAGTAGCCCTGATGACCTCTGAGGACCCTTGCAGCTTGTAAGTTCTATGAAGAATGATCCCTGACAAGTAGTCCCTTGTGTGGGTGTCTAGCCCCAAAGATGGTCTCTAGCCCCACAAAAAGTGGCATTGAGAGCATAAACAGGCAGTCATGTGCCATACTCAGGGGCCTGGGCACCACACATCCTGGCAACATGCATAGCTCCCTATCATGAAAAGAGACTGCAGTGGGATAAAAGAAAGTAGTATGAAAAGTGACTGCTTGTGAAGTATCAGGCAGGGTGGAAGATAACACTGCACCAGATTTGGATAGGAGCAGACCAGCCTGAATCTGGAGATTACACATACTGTCCCTCCATTTAAATCAATGCTCTCTCAAGGGAGGGTATTCAATCATTCAGCAAATGCTTATTGAGTGCTGGCTGTGTGCTGGGTACTGTGCTAGGTGCTGGGTTTGCTGACTTCAGGGAGCTCAGAGTCAAATTAGGGAGAAGACTACTGAAAACATAAGAACAATGTCAGATTGTGACAAGTATGAGTTTAGACTGGGGTGGGGGTAGAATCAAGGAGGATGTCTTTGAGACCTGGGTTAACAGGGATGTGAAAGTCCTCCCCTTTGTCTACTAGCCCTGCGTTAGAGGTCATAGTGGAGAAGAAAGGACACTTTTGGAAATTGCAACAAACAAGACTCGCAGAGCATGTGCAGACAGGCAGGATGGTCTGGTACAAAACACAGGTAGGCAAAGATGTTCCACCCACACGAGGTCAAACCACATGTACACACTGCCCCTCTCATTAAGTACTGCTACCCTCAAAGCAATTCCAGCCCTGGGAGGGTAACAGGGCTATGGGCAAGCATGGCATTTCCAGAGTGGAGAGGTTGTCAAGTGTCTCTCTCTGCCAACCCCCACCCCATTCATCCATGCTCTTACCTCCATCAAGCAGCTCCTTGACGGTGCGGTAGTCGTCCGCAAGAGCAGCATAGTGCAGGGCTGTGCAGCCCTTGAAGCTGGCGCGGTTGTTCAGCCGGTTGTTGAAGTCATCTTCTCGGGTGACCAGAACTGGGTGGGGAGAGTAACACAAACCCTTCTATTAGCAACAAATGCTCTGAGCCACCAATTTCACCATCTTTCTCTTGGCATTTTAATTTACTCACTCACCCATTTATCTACTTGCTAAATATGCAATGACACCTATTATGTGCATGGCAATCTGTGCCAGGCAAGAGAAAGTAAAGCAGAGCTCAGTTAGTTCCACAAACATTTACTGACATTTATTACGTAGTAGGATTCATTTGGGGACACAGAGTGAATCAGACATGGTCTCTGACCTAATCTGAAGAAGGAGACAGAGAACAAACACATGTTTATTGTATTATTTGAGATAAATACTATGTTAGAAGTATAACAGGATGATATAGAAAGCCAGAGGGGAAATTAGCTCAATTTGGGAATGAAGAGAGGATCTCAGATGTCCAGAATCTTGAAGGGTGAAGAGGAGCCATCCAGGTGAAGAAAGAAGGCTGGGGTAAGAGAGGGAACCAGTGGGGCAGGAGACAGAGGCTGTTCTTTGCAGAACAGTAACATATCCCTCTGCTCTGAAGATGTTTACAACCTAGTGAGTGTTTGATATTATTTTGTGATGACCTTTTATAATTTATAAAAGCCATTAAAATTTTGAAACTACAGAAAAATACAAAGAAGGGATCAATATTTCTGCAACTTGAAAAACTGCACTTAATATTTTGGTATATATCTATATATCTATATCTATACACACACACACACACACACACACACACACACACATATATGCATATATATCCTATAGAATTGGAATTTACTACATTGCAATTTTGTAATATGCTTTTTTACCCTTAATAAATGCACTGTGAACATGTTTTTAAAGGTAAGATTAAAAAGTATTTCATGTGATCAAAGAACCAAAAATCCTAGGCTCACTCTAGTGCTAGTATTCATGACTCTCCCTCTCCAACTTCATACTAAATAACCTAAAACCAGTTCTGTCACTTTTATAGGACCCTATGGGTTGGGTGACCACACACATCCGGGACGAACCTGGTTTATGCCTGTTGTCCTGGACAGTCCCAGTCTGGAAAATAAATGGGAAGGTTACTCCACCTCTGAGGTCCTCCCTTGGGACCTGAGACCCAATAAAACAACTATAATACTTAGGTGATGGGGTTTCTTTCTGCCCCAATTATCAGAGTAACTGTTATGTTCCCTCCTGAACTGATTTCATTGGAAGTGGAATTTGGGTCCTACCTACCTGAACCCCCTTCTCTAGCCCAGAGCACAGGGTCTTCAAGAGGTAGGTTCCTCTCACCTCCCAACTGGGTAAGGGGGTGTAATTCAGCCAACAGGTAACCTTGCCTAGGTAGTTAAAAGCATCAGACAATTCCTGAACCATTCTTTTCCAAGTAAGTGGTATTAGAATAGTGTCCATGCATTTTTCCCTCCCTTCCTATTTAAAGTTCAAAAAGCCAAAGACTGTCATGCCTTCTCCTAATACTAACGGATCTCATTTACTGACCTTTTTCTACTCTGTGTCTGGCAAGGTAGCTTCACACAATCTATTTAATTCTCATAACTATCTTATATAGTGGGTATTATCATTCTCATTTTATAGATGAGAAAACTGAAACACAGAGGTCACACAGCTAATACAGGGGTGAGCAAAAGTAGGTTTAGAGTTATAATACAAATAAATCATATAATAATTAATAAATACTAGTACAAGAATAAAATCTGTGTTTCATGTACTTGCAATTATAAACCTACTTTTGCCCGCCCTTGTACATGGTTGAGTGAGGATTAGAACCCATGTCTAATCTGAGTCTTTACTCTTTCTCTCCACCATATCATGCTGGCATCCTAATTTTGCAAATGAGCAAATCAGATCCCAAAGAAAGGAGCTCAGAGCCTAGATGTCTTGACCCAGCCTTGACTCTTATTCTCCCTCCTTTTCCTGCTCAGGTGAAGGTGCACCATACTTTCTGCAGAACTTGCCTTAACAGGGAATGGCCTGAGATTTGTAGCTAGCTTAGGTGGGAGTATTTCAAATGTTTGGCCAAAATGAAGTTGGTGGAGTATGCAGCTGAGACTAGACCACACTTCCTTGTGGCCTATGGACTCAATAGTCAATCAGCAATTCTGCACCAGACAGAGGCTTCCAGACCGATAACTTCCTCCCCTCCACACCTGCAGTGTTATCTGACCTTTCCTGGAGTAGAGAGAACAGGAAGAAGGCCTCTGAGCAGCTAACACATAAGTCGCATATGCATTTTTCCCATAAGAGAGCCCTTTAGAGACCTAACTCAGAGAGATTACCAACTCTTAGTGGCAAACAGTCTTATCAAATAATAGTAAGTGATCTTGTTTCCAGCTCTCTGCAGATTAGGAGAAGAAAACAATAAGGCTGGGGAGGAGGCTTCATAATCAAGCAGACTGATTACAATCAAGTGGTGGCCAGGCAAGGAGGGAAAAGAACAATAAAAAGCTAAAAAGAAATCCACAGAATACTGCACCTGAAAAACCCCTAAGGGCACCACTGAATTGCCCATAGGACATCAACTGCTGGATACAATAATGAACCTGAAGAAAAGTGATAGTTGGTTCAAGAAAGCAGGAAGGGTATAATCCATTTTACAAAGAAAACACACCATTCATTCAACAAACAACACTTAATGAGCACCAATGCATGGTGGTAGCTGCTGGAGGTATACTAATGAATAAGAGTGTAATGCAAACTGGACACCAAAGCTCAAGCAAGCTTCTTCAGCTGGCAATGCTCTGTGCACACTGTCAAGCATCGGTACTGGGAAAGCAAAGCTGTACCTGACTCCATGAGAAAAGAGCAACTAGAAGCTCCACATTTAGTACTTTTCTAGATAGCTCTGTGTGCCTTTTCCCGTGACTGGTTTATTTAAGTCTGTATTCTCCAACTGAAGTGAACTGTAACTGAGGAAACCAAGATGGCAGCATAGGTAAACACTGGAAATTGCTGCCTTGCACAACCACTTCAAAAATACAACTAAAAGACAAAATGGACATCATCCAGAACCACAGGAAGGCTGGCTGAGTGGAAATTCTACAACTAGAAGGAAAGAGAAAAAAGCACACTGAGTCTCAGAGGAGGTGCGGAAGTAAAGTGCAGAGTTACGGAGTCGCACGTGGAACAGGTTAGTAACTGAGGACACGGTTGTCTTTTTCAATCTGGAGGGAGTCTCAAGCTCCTGACTGCTCTGAACTCCAGTTCCGGGTGAGTCTCTGGGGACCCAGACTCATACGGGGAGAAACTGGACTTTCTGGCATCGGTTGGAACTCGAGGGTGGCTTTCTCTCAGAGGTGCTTGCAGCGATTACCGGGACCCTGGGGGGGGGGGGGGCTCTTAGGGTAGGACTGAGGATCAGCCACAGCTGTTTGCTCCGCCTTGTTGATTCCCTGAGACCCCACTCCACCCAAGCTGTGAGCAGAGGCTTTTGCATATGAATGCCCTGGCCCTTTGCAATCTGAAAATTACCTAACAAACTGCAGCTGAGTCAGAGACCCAGCACTTCCAAAAGAAGGCCCAAGGCCCCACAGCAGCTTGCATTGTTTCACAGCTGGGCCTCATCTGAGCACCTCCAAACCCCAAAGAAGAGGAATCTGCAGATCTTTCCATAGCTCCTGCTGGGTAGCCTCAGGCAGAGGCTAAATTAGCACCTCCTTAGAGATCCAAGAGCCAGTGTACCCAGTGGTCAGAGTGGGACCATCCAGATTACAACTCCTCAGATCCATAAGGGACACACTCAGGGGGCAGACTCAGTGAGCACCAAAGCCCCACTGAAGCAAGTCTTGCCCCATAAGGGTGTCTCCAGCACAGTTCTCCCACTGTAGACACAGCTGACTCTCACAGCCAATTGGCCTGGAGGTCAATTCCTCCCAGTGATACCTATAACAATCAAGGCTTAACTACAATAAGACTGTGCACAAAGCCCACAAAGGGGTGCACCAAGAGTGTTCACCTCAAGTAATTGGGGAGGCTAAGCCACTGGGCCCTATAGGACACCTAGCACACAAAGCCACTCTACCAACACAGGGAAGCATAAAAAATGCGGAGACAAAGAAACAGGTCACAAATGACAGAAATGGAAGAAAGCAAACTACTGGATATAGAGTTCAAAACCACACTTATAAGGTTTTTCAAGAATTTTCTTGAAACTGCTGATAAATTTAGTGAGACCCTCAAAACAAACTACGGCCCGTGGGCTGGATCCGGCCCGCTTGAAATGAATAAAACTAAAAAAAAAAAAGACCGTACCCTTTTATGTAATGATGTTTACTTTGAATTTATATTAGTTCACACAAACACTCCATCCATGCTTTTGTTCCGGCCCTCCGGTCCAGTTTAAGAACCCATTGTGGCCCTCGAGTCAAAAAGTTTGCCCACCCCTGCCCTAGAGGATATGAAAAAGGACCAAGTAGAAATTAAGCATACACTGACTGAAATAAAGAATATTATACAGAGTTCCAACAGCAGACTAGAGGATCGCCAAGAATCAAGTCAAAGATCTGAAATACGAAGAAGCAAAAAACACCCAACCGGAAAAACAAAAAGAAAAAAGAATCCAAAAATATGAAGATAGTGTAAGGAGCTTCTGGGACAACTTCAAGCGTACTAAGCCGAATTATGGGGGTGCCAGAAGAGAGAGAGCAAGATACTGGAAACCTATTTGAAGAAATAATGAGAGAAAACTTCCCCTACCTGGTGAAAGAAATAGACTTACAAGTCCAGGAAGCACAGAGAACCCCAAACAAAAGGAATCCAAAGAGGACCACACCAAGACACATCATAATTAAAACGCTAAGGGCAAAAGACAAAGAGAGAATCTTAAAAGCAGCAAGAGAAAAACAGTTAGTTACCTACAAGGGAGTACCCATACCATTGTCAGCTGATTTCTCAACAGAAACTATGCAGGCCAGAAGGGAGTGGCAAGAAATATTCAAAGTGATGAATAGCAAAAACCTACAACCAAGATTACTTTACCCAGCAAAGCTAT